CTACTTCAAAACATCATTTACTTTTAAAGGTAATTTAATGAACACTGACTTTTCTAAAACCTTAGGGACTACTGTTTTGCATTCTTTCCTTTTCGAGTACTTACTAACGCAGCTTTCGAGTCACCCATTTTTGTCGATGTGATTTGGAGTTTTTATTTTATAATCAATAGTCTTTTCAAAGTGGATTTTGTTTCCTGTAAGAAAGTGTTTAAATTAGGTTCCTTTCATATTCAATCGGAACATAACTTTTGAAATTAAGATATTGGCCAGACATGAAAGCTTTTTATAGATGGATCTTTCCATAGATCCATCATTCCTTTTTACAAACGAAACGTCATGAAAACTGATGTAGCCATCTAGGTGCCCAGGTGTGAAGCAGAAGTTCACGTTGCACAAGAGTATATAACATCATCCATGAAATTTCTGCCTCCAGTAAATCTCGTTTCAACAACCTTTGTTGCCTGAAAGTCCTTTTCAAGGAACAGAATATTAAGTCAGCATATAATGAACTACTTTCTGATATTGAAATGCTTAAATATTTCGTATTTCTGAGTCAGTCAGCCGAAACCTTAACCAGTTGGTGAGTTACCAAAGTTAATATTCTAGGAGTTATTTTCAATCATCCAAAGTCCACATTGAATGTAGCACTACCTACACACAAATAACGGTCAAGATTCAACAGCTTCTAGAAAATTCTAAAACGTTACCTCAATAAATGTCACTAAATGCAAACAAGGAATTCATTCAATGAGAATACTTTAGTTATGTTCTCTATAGGTGAACTAATGTGTGATTCCATATAAGATTTTTGTTTGATAGCACACAGTGATCTAGTTCATTTCTGACTGCCTCAAGTGCCAAATCAATTGCCACATTTGTATAGAGGCTCATCATACTAAAACTGACCATTTTTTCTGCCTCAAAATGCATATCAATTAGTCTGTTCCACTTCAAATTAACTGGCCAGCCCAGGACTTGACCAGTTTCTAATGCGATGTATTATTCTAGCTAAATATTTAGATAACTCATATGTTGATGTGTTTCTAGTCAGCTATTGGCCTGTCTCCAGAGCCTTAATGGTACCGAAAATTCTCCTAAGACTACTGCATTTAGGCATTAAATTAAACCACTGAGACTCACCCATAGATGGCTGCATACTGTGTATAAGACCAGCCGTGAACTTTCTAATCTCATCCAAAACCATGTCCAAAGGTTTTCGAATCTCCTCATATGGTCCTGTCTCGACATGGCCACTGAATTTTTAAGTAATCCACCTTGTCCGTAACTGCTGTCAAGTTGAATTAGTCAAACCTGGCAATTACTATACCATTGTCCTCTCTTAAATTCCTCAGTATCAATATTTCTGGTCTCGTTAAGTTCTTACTCTAATTCTTTTGGTGTTTCAGTGTCAGGCCCTATTATTCACGTATCTGACAATCAATTGTTTTGTATACTGAGCTTAATGATACTTCTTTGCTAGGTATAACATCTTCAGGTTTGAGTTGAGCTACTGCTGCGTCGAAGTCTAGTCCTTTCTTGAGAACGTTTACTTTATACTTATCCTTTCTATCTTCATAAAGCTATAAGGTCTGTGGTACGCTTCTTTATTGCTGTCCATGCAATATCAATTTTGTATTTCGAATAAGATAATTGATTGATGTTTTCATTACGGATAACAGTTAGTTTTCAACTAAGCTATGAAGTTGTTTAACTATGGCATTCAAACAAGGTCTTGATTCATTTCGAAAATTTCAACTTATATCTAACTTGTTTCTTAACTAACTTAAGAATTCCTCATTCAAATTTTGTTTCTGAAGTCAAACTGAAATCCATTGAGTTGTACAGGACAGAATTTGTTAGGTAGTCAGTACTTTCTTCCATTGAGTAAACAGACCTGTGTGTTAGCTGCCTCATGGGAAATGCATAGTAGATGAATATTGGATGAAGTCTGGAGAGATCTTTCATGAATGCTATTTCGTGAACTAGAACTGTTAGCATGGGTTGTAGAGCTAGAAGTACTCAAACGTGATTAAGGTTTAATAAGGGAAAAATTTCAAAAATTATCATGCAACGATCACATAGTTTAAAGATAAACGCTCTTTTCTTAGACCAGGAGGGTGTCAACACATAATGCATCCACACTGTGGAATTTTATTTTTTCTTGGGTTTTCTAGACAGAAAGTAAGCTAGTCTTACTTGAAGACAAAACTCAGGAATCCATGGTTGATATCATTCCATGCATCATTTTCATGGGAATTTCATAGTTGCAACCTCTCCTTAAAGAAACTAAATCCTGTCAATTTAAGGGCATACACCATTGCAAAATACATAGTTTCTAGGATAATATTTCCATTCGCCTCCCTAATCGCGTGAGAAACCAGTTTAATTGGGAGGCTGATCATTCGAAGTAAATGCCTAACGGTTGTTACATCCACGTCAAGGAACTGCTACAACCACGATCTCAAACCTCCCTAATTATTTACACCCATCAGTAGTTCCATTAAACCTTATCACTATCCATTCACCTTTTACAGTATAGTAGGAATGCAAGGAAAAATTGTTTCAGTAACTTTAGCTTGACGGTGTGAAAGCCTAAGCACTGCTTCAAAGTAATGGTCATCAACAAGGAGTTCGACAAACAGATTCATACATCCTGATTTATTCTCAGTTTAACAGTTGTCATCAGTGAAATAAGCCCGTTTTCGTCGACACTTTCATGGTTGACAGAAGTAATATCAAAACAACTAAAGTAAAATAAGACTCAAGTTTGTAGTAAGTATTAATGTAATTGCTATTGTTATTGTAATCACTTAACTCTTTTTAAGAGTTCATTAGAAAATGATGCTTTTCAACTTTGACAGGAAGACAGAATTTATTTAAGGAACGATACATTATTTTCACAATTACAATGAAAATGTCACCCACAGAGATTTCCCAAAAAAAACCTCATCATTCTGTTTTCGTTGAGTTTGATGTGAATAAGCGAGAAAATTTATATTCTACACCTCCAAACTTCATTAAATATCATAAAGTTAATGTTAAGGATATTCATTTTATAATGTAGATGACATATTGAATACAATCACCACTTCAAGTGATTTTCGCTTTGATCTCAAAAGATTAATTAAATTAAAGTATAGTGGTAGATAGGTGAGATAATTTGTTAAGCTCCTAACAACATAGATGATTTATCTCTCAATCACTTCACCATGATAAGAAATTGATAGTTAGTTGTCAGTAAGGTTATTATAACTAATGATGTTTTGATTTTTCCTAAGCTCCTATATTTCCTTAGAGAAGTTTCATCAACAAATCTAATGACATTTTTCTAAAGTGAATCCTCCTGGAATCACATATATATTATTACATTTTTAATTAAATGTGCATTCACTAGTTGTGTTTTCAGTTATTTCAGGTTGAACCTCGATAATAAGTAGTTGCTAGTCATTCAACTTCAAATTCAAGTACTCACTTACTAAATGCATATTTTAGCTCAATATTTTCGCATTAGGAAAATGGTGATGAAATTTTACAAGAAACGGACATGCATTACATCTGAGTACATCGCTTAGCTTAATAAGGCAACTTAACCTGTTAAAGTGTTTATAGACACAAGGTTTTGAGTCATATTTGTGTTTCATAGGCCAAAGCAAGTAGAGCAGGATTCCAACCTACTACCCAATATTTGGAAGTGAAGTCTGTAAGTCAGTGAGCCGTATCTATATTTACCAACAATCAGGTTAAAACTTACCTCCATAAAGTTTAGATATTTTTCATGAAACCTTAGATTAGACCTTAAACATAAGCATTTCTGGTAGTAAAGATTTGTAGCTCACGATGAAGAAGGTAATTGTTTGGTATTGTCCAGGACTTGGGGTTTTTTCTTGGACGCTTCATCATCAGGCTAAGAGAATTGATCGGCACTTACTTCAAAAATGCTAATTAAGTCGTCTACCTTGATGATGGAACACAAATGAATACACCATTTTCAACACTATACACAGGATGTTAAATCAGTTGTCCTAGAAGGTTTAACAGAGAAATCTAAATGATGCATGACCAGCTAGTTCGAAGTTTTTATTTTACGCCAACCACTTTATAACTACAATAGTTCATCTTCTTTATCCCTCTATATGTTGTCAAAATAAATGTTTACTGAAGGAATACAGATTTGAAATATTTATCATACGCAATTAACAGGCAGTGGTGAATAATTAAATCTGCTCTTGAATAACCTTACATAACCTGTTTCACACCAAAGTATACACTTGATATCCTTTACTAGCAACTTCTTGGATCTGTTGGGCTCCGGGTTTTACTTTGTAGATGTGTGTTTAAAAGAAATGGACTGTCGCACACTGACGCTCAACTTTCATTCCAATCTACCACATTACAGAATGCTTTAGAAGTCTAGATATCAAGAACATTTTTTATTTATGAACAGTCTAACCATACTCTGATAATGACAGAACATTTTCGTGGTTTAGTACATTTGTCTTCACATATTTCACCTAACTAAGCAATTCATTTGATCACAAATTACTGTCACTACAACTGTATTTAACACTGAAGCAAATATTTACAACTAATTTTTCCTGGTGTACGAAAGCTGAATTGTTGAGTTGTCAGAACATGCATGAGTTAGCAATTTGATTCGTGAATAAGTTCCACTTATGTAAACTGAAAAGGATCACTTGCAGTAACCTCGGTAAATAATCAAATATAGGAATGCTAAAAATGGTTGATCAAATTTTCTAGTTTGGTAGAGTCGAAGCAGCGAGTATCAGAAACGTCTACGTTCTAATTAGCTGTACAATATAACCTCTCTCACCACTTATTAAAAGAACTGTAGTAATTTTTTTAAACTTTAGGCTTCCCCTAATTATCATTTCGAAATCCGGTTCCCTTACTTGCGTTTTCCAGTAGCCGGTTACTTCAACTGCACTATATTACCTTCTCATTTTATATATTTTCCCATCACAGTTTGTTCATAAATGAATTTATAATTCTAAAGAGTCGGCATTTTTTTTCATGTTAGCTAACTGTTCAATGATTTTCCAAAAACAGGCGAGATGCGTACACGACAAAAACGGATAGAATCTATTCAAAAATGGTATAGTGATGCCCCGCATCTTTTTTTTCACTGACAAACTGATTTCTTATCACGTGTGGAAAAAGTTGTTTACCAACAGAATAAGCACTAGACTACTTTGTTATTCTGTAAAACAGTGATAGCATCGAATTATACAGAAAATGAAGAGGCATATAATTTTAGAAGAGATAATTAAGGCTTTGTCCTTTGAATTTATGAGTGACGGCGGAAAGTGGAACTAAGTAAAACATTAAAAAGAATCCTATTCTAGTAGAAGTTGCACTCAATAAAGAGTGAGTTTCTTTCACACCACTGAGACTATTATTTGTTTCTCTGTTACAACATTCAATAGAAACATTTGAGTAAAGAAAAAAACAAGGTTTTAGACTGTTTACTACTTTTCAATAATGATTAGTGAAATACAGCAACTGTAGTGTACATTCCCACTTAACACTGTGGAAAAGAGCATGCGTAATTGTAATTGTACTGCATTTTATTAATGACTTTTCCTTGTATTCATTCTCAGTTCAACTGCATCATAAAAGAAATAGCAAAGATTTCAGATGAACATTGTATTATATAATGAATTCTACCGACAAGCGGGTGCAGCTACGATGGGTTCCTCTTTTGGTCTTTTTCTAGCTAACATCGTTCCGGCAAAACTTCAAAACGGTTCACTGTGGGACTTACTGAGCCAAGCTAATATTATCTATATGTAAATGATACTTTCATTGCTTGTGATAAAGGCTTCAAGAAACGAAAGCTTCTGAATATTTTCAAAAATCTCCATGCGACTATGAAGTTCACCCATGAGGATGGATACAGAAATATTACAAAATGAAAATAAAAAGTTTAAGCTTTTTAACAGAAAAAGAATTCTCGTTTCATTGAAATCTACCAATTATTAGAGTGAGTTAGGCTGTCTCGATGAGCATCTGTCCTACTCTATAGAAGATATCGATGTAAACACACTGTAATTTGTATAAAATACACATGTAATTTCGTAGCTTCATGCCCCTTCATTACGAACGAAATTTAATAGACTTCAAGCTACAGAATGAACGCTATATATTTGGAAGATAAAGCTGAGGAAGAAGTGACGACTTCACGCAACACTATTCGAAAATGGCCATCTTGATAAATCCATAAAGAAATATATCATGGCAAAAAACGACATCCCAACGGCTGGCAGAAAGCCTCCATACAGTCGGGTAAAATTTAGGGGTGATGTCTTAGGAGAGATATTAACTTATAAACTACACAAATAAATTCGAAGAACTTTAAGTGCTAGGAAACTACAAATTACGTTTTCACATACCTAGTAGCGAAACTGACACCAAAAGATTAATTGTCAAGACTGGTCAGTTACGGTGGCCACTACCTTAGAAATTAAATTTTCCGCACTCGTGAACACCTCCCAGCATGATTTAAAAAAGGTTTGATAAAGACCAACAAAACCTCTATATTAGTATACTTATTATTATTATTATTATATTTGTCCTTTGGGTGCCAAGTGGAACATAGGACTTCACTAGAACATCTCCATAGCATTCTCTTCTCTGAAGTCCTTTCAACCTGACTCCACAACTGCTCACAAACTTTCATTTCTTCCTCACACAACCCCACCCACCCACAAATATCATCCTCGGACACTCAAATCGTCGTTTCCCATTTGCATTCCACTAGACAGCCTAGCCTGACGCATCATCTCCCCAAACCGTCTTCACAGTGTATGACCATTCCAATCCAATCCACCTCCACTCTCTTCCTATGCATATTTGTTAGGCGACTGGTTCTTGGTTGGTTCATTCACAGAGTTCTTTGTTGCTTATTCTTGTTATTCTGGCCATCTGATCGTCAGTATGGAATGAGTGCAAGCAACGGTTGTTGATGAGTGTCTGTAGTTTGTTGGATATATGCTTTTCGTAACACGCCAACTCTCTCAAGCATCACATAGGAACACTGACCTGACATTATTATTACTGTTGAAAATCCAGATGTTGTTCACGGTTTATGCTGAGTGCAGTGCAGTGGAGTGCATTGCAGTAGACCTCCACACTGATTTCAGATTAATCAAGGAAGGCCTGTCTTGCTGTGTTTCGATCCTGTCTGCGTTTGACTTCCTCATCTGTGCAGCTATCTGTAATTGGAACGATGCTGCCCTGCCCAAGTAGGTGGAACAGAAAACTTCCTTTAGATTTCTCCGGTTCATGGTGATTGGTGCTTCTTGTTGTTGTTGTGTTTTGTTGTTGGCTGGGTACCTTCACCACCTCTACCTCTGTCTTCTCTGCGTTCACCTGAGGCAAGTCCCGTCTTCGCTGCCCTGACCTGCACTGCCCTACCCTGCCCCACCTCACCTCGCCTCGCCTCTTCTCTCAACTTGTTGGTTTTCGCTTGTGGATCTTCCAGTTTGTACAACATTTTGCATTGCACGTAGGTCATCTGTGAAATCCAAATTTTCTAGGCTCTTCTCATCTGTCCTGCCTGCGAATGCCCCTCTTCTCACTGCTCACCGTTTGCTGCATGGTCCAGTCCAGTCCGGTCGACCACAATCAGCAAGATCATCAGTGATAGTAGGTGGCAACCTTATCTTACTCCTTCCTGTCTTCACTTCAAAGGCATCATTGGGCTCTCCGTTGTGTTATGAATCACTTGGCATGTAGCGTCGTCATATGGCTAGTTGTTGAATGAGGTTGATAAAGGTTTGTGGCAGTGAGATTGTTGTGCTGAACCAGCTGCCTGGCAAATTACTGCTGAGTCGACTCTGTCGAAGGCCTTTTCCAAATCGATGAAGTTGAGATGAGATGAAGAGTTGACTGCCATTCTGTGCTGTGTTCTATGATGTTGTGTAGCGTGGCGTTGCAATTTGATCCACACATGATTTGTTCTTCCTGAAGCCGGCCAGCCAACCAACCAACCAGCATATTCCAGGGCATCTTTCAGTCTCTCCAGGATGATGCGGCTTATTTTGCTTGCTTGAGGTGGACAGGGATGCAGCATGATTCCGCTCCCCACTTCCTGCAAACACTGAGGTCGCCCAGCCTTGTTTCGTAGTTGGACAAGGTAACCCTTCTTCTTCTTCTTCTTCTTCTTCTTCTTCTTCTTCTTCTTCTTCTTCTTCTTCTTCTTCTTCTTCTTCTTCTTCTTCTTCTTCTTCTTCTTCTTCTTCTTCTTCTTCTTCTTCTTCTTCTTCTTCTTCTTCTTCTTCTTCTTCTTCTTCTTCTTCTTCTTCTTCTTCTTCTTCTTCTTCTTCTTCTTCTTCTTCTTCTTCTTCTTCTTCTTCTTCTTCTTCTTCTTCTTCTTCTTCTTCTTCTTCTTCTTCTTCTTCTTCTTCTTCTTCTTCTTCTTCTTCTTCTTCTTCTTCTTCTTCTTCTTCTTCTTCTTCTTCTTCTTCTTCTTCTTCTTCTTCTTCTTCTTCTTCTTCTTCTTCTTCTTCTTCTTCTTCTTCTTCTTCTTCTTCTTCTTCTTCTTCTTCTTCTTCTTCTTCTTCTTCTTCTTCTTCTTCTTCTTCTTCTTCTTCTTCTTCTTCTTCTTCTTCTTCTTCTTCTTCTTCTTCTTCTTCTTCTTCTTCTTCTTCTTCTTCTTCTTCTTCTTCTTCTTCTTCTTCTTCTTCTTCTTCTTCTTCTTCTTCTTCTTCTTCTTCTTCTTCTTCTTCTTCTTCTTCTTCTTCTTCTTCTTCTTCTTCTTCTTCTTCTTCTTCTTCTTCTTCTTCTTCTTCTTCTTCTTCTTCTTCTTCTTCTTCTTCTTCTTCTTCTCTTCTTCTTCTTCTTCTTCTTCTTCTTCTTCTTCTTCTTCTTCTTCTTCTTCTTCTTCTTCTTCTTCTTCTTCTTCTTCTTCTTCTTCTTCTTCTTCTTCTTCTTCTTCTTCTTCTTCTTCTTCTTCTTCTTCTTCTTCTTCTTCTTCTTCTTCTTCTTCTTCTTCTTCTTCTTCTTCTTCTTCTTCTTCTTCTTCTTCTTCTTCTTCTTCTTCTTCTTCTTCTTCTTCTTCTTCTTCTTCTTCTTCTTCTTCTTCTTCTTCTTCTTCTTCTTCTTCTTCTTCTTCTTCTTCTTCTTCTTCTTCTTCTTCTTCTTCTTCTTCTTCTTCTTCTTCTTCTTCTTCTTCTTCTTCTTCTTCTTCTTCTTCTTCTTCTTCTTCTTCTTCTTCTTCTTCTTCTTCTTCTTCTTCTTCTTCTTCTTCTTCTTCTTCTTCTTCTTCTTCTTCTTCTTCTTCTTCTTCTTCTTCTTCTTCTTCTTCCAATCAATGGCTAGTCAATTTTCCTTCCTCCCTTCCTAACCTTCTGCAATAGTGAGTGATATGAGCATGTCTGCTGTTGTCTCTGCGTCTGTTTTCAGTGCTTCTGGAGGAATTCCATCTGGTGCTGCTGCTCTCTCGGATTTCAGCAACTTTATGGCGTTTACGACTTCACTTCTGCTTTTCTCGGATGTCTTGTGTTCACTGGTAATTCTGTGTCTGGGCTGTTTGTAGTATTTGTGGACGAGTTGCAGATGGTGGTGGTGATCGATTGAAGCGTTTTTTGAAGTGACCAGCCCATCATTTTCTTCCTTTCTCCTTCTTGCCAACTAGCTTTCCTTCACTATCTCTCACTGGTTTCATCTGCGTTGACCTCTTCCCTCCCAGATGGTAACCTGGTTATTTGATATAGTGTTGTCATGTCTCTCCTATCAGCCTACAGCCTGTTCTGCTTCACTTGTCAGTGTGTCGCAGAAGTATCTTTTGTCTTTCCGCGCACTCTCCTTCACTTCTTTATCCAGTGTAGTGTTTTATAGGTTGTGTCCAGTTCCTCTTTTCGTTGTTCATCCCTGCACTGCACTGTACTGCACTTGTTCATCTTCTGCTTCACCATCTTCCCCTCCTATATTAGCTGCTGTGTATCCCTAGAGATCCATTCCTTGTCCTGTCTTGTTTCTTCATCCTTCCAAACACGGTTTTGCAGTAAACTAAGTTCAAAAGAACCATACAACGGATAGGAATAAGGCGTTACGTAGTATTTACTGGGTTCTCATCAACTTGGTAAAAGGCATTCGACTCCGAACCCTACAAACTGCAGAAGTGGTGATAATAAAGATTAAACAACCAGCTTTGTGTTCAGAAAAAGCAGGTTTTACCACAAACACTAATTTAGCCTTATTTACGATTCACAGATTCGGAAGTATTCCACCATATGTAACCTAATTTTGAACTTCCACATCGTAAATATACCTCCATTTCTTAAAACCGAAATAATTTCCTCAGATTTTCTTAGTGTGTTTTGTTTCCTAACATTAATAATATTTCACTAACCTAGTATTTCTCAAATTATCTTTGTTTATCACATCCCACATTCATGTACACCCTCCTATTGCTTTTATTAACGTAACTTTGTTTATCTGAGTTCATATTCACACTCCACTACATTTCGTTTCCTATTCTACTTATGATACGCCTTATCCGCATAACTTTCATCATCGTAGTTAATATGACTCATTTACACTTTATGATGGTATATAGGCAGCATAACTATTTATATAACCAGTGATTTCTAACTGAAACCTAACAATAACTGATTCTCATATTACCGTTGACACAAAACTTCTTTGAAGAGAATCACTCAACTATCTGATATTGTCAAAAAACTGTGAAAAGAAATTTTACTACTGTTGACGTAAAATCACACAATATGGACATAATTGTAGGACATGAAGAAATTAAGAGAAAGAGATCGAGCCATTCGACCCTGAATAGCAACGGAAAGTTACAATTATCAAAAGGCAACTTATACCTGCTGCGTGAAATGTAGCTCTTGTCCCCAGTGACCTAGTAGATAACGCTTCGGCGCTTGAAGCAATGGGTACTGGGTCAGAAGCTTGAAGGGAATAACATCACTCACTGGGGCGCAGGAACATCCAGCTGACGAGTCAAAAATGGGACAAAACCCATGTCATAGATTCCACTCTTAGTCACGAAGATGAATACAACATCAGAAATATTCTTTGTTCATTCCAAAGCTTTTTGAATTACAATGGGAGCTTATAAGAAGCAGAAATAAAGGAATTCGTCAATTTAACCAACAATACAGGTAAAACTATCTGAAAAGTTTTGAAAAATTTTGGGTGATTACAAACATGATTTTTACGTATAATTAAGTGCATTGTCAGGGGGTAAATCCCTTTGAACTAGATATCATTCCTGAGTTTTTATTGGCAACCTCTTATTTGCAAAACGTGTTAGTCGTCCAAGTAATAGCATAATCAAGACATCGATACTAATGAGAAACCAATGCAACTACACCCCATACGGGTTAACATACCAGGCTTTTAGGTAAAATCACTGCACGACAGCTTATGTTACTAGCTGGCTGCGCAGGCCAAGGTGTTTCGAAAAAGATCTGAACAGAAGATCGACTGCTCGGAAGCTGAATACCAATACCAATTATTCACGTATCAATTAGGACGTCCAAATGAGGAGTCTATTGGGTAAAAAACTTCGGCAAACTTGCTTCTATGAAATTAATGTTGAATATACAACAATATTTTCTAATGAACTACTCAAGGATATATCGCTTTTGGGTGTATTTATTACCTCCAACGATCATTAAAGTTTTAGAAGGAAGGTTGTTTTTGTGTACTGGATGAGAGAAATAGCAAAATATCACATAAAACTCAGGTGAGTGTTTATTTCAAAAAACATATTACACTGTGCGGTCAAATCTGCTGATTTTTGGAGTGATCAAAGCAGCGCTGTCAATGTTAGCAAACAGGAAACGCATATAGCTGAACAGTAAAACTTAAGAGTTAGTTAAATAATTATTGCACATGTTTTAAGAATTCTTCAATCATTGCTATTTAAAATAACTAAAATTTACTAGTCTCAATGTTTACTCACAAGTTGTAAAACAGCCATGTTTTTTCTGACTACCTAGATTTACAGATATAGTCATAATTACCAAAATCAACAGAAAAGTCATATACTGTCCCTCTGAAACCACACTTTTATAGGATTTAAACAGGAGAAATGTGACAAGATGACACTTCGAAAACTCTTCTCACTATTTTCGGGGAAAAACTTTATTACATATGAAGATCTAGCTAGTTCTTCAAATAATCAGCAAAAAACCAGTTGTGTTAACCAAAATGTCTATATATAACTGCACGGCAAGTCAAAAAAACAGTTATGCTCAATGATAAGTTGGACAGCAGGTTTTCAAATACTATAGATATTGCACATCCAGAAGCTTCTGGAAATGCAACAGCGTTTCAAGTTTCGAACATGCATTCACAGAGTTGCACCCTGACACAATGCTCACCATTTTACTCTTTCATTAATCTCATCTACCTTATTGATAAACACTTGAAATACTACTTTGTGCAAGCTTGAACCTGATGCTCGTTTACACGAACTCTTCGTCGAAGTAAGACTGCTTCAGTAGTAACTACACTTGTGATCATCACTAGTGAAGCAGGTTTACCTTGTCAAACGAATAGGTAGCATTACTAGTATGTATTCTTTAACCTTCCTTCTTACCAAAGACTTTTATTTATTACTTAGCATTCTACTACCTTTAATCAACAAACCTATTGTTGATGAGTACAAATCCCGTCACCAGACTCTGAAGATGATATTGTGAGGGGACTACACACACATCAAAGTTAACTACATTTTTCGCTTTTAAATAAACAGAGGAAGAAAAAAATTAACAGATGATTTCATATTTTCTCCTGATATTCTGAATAGTTAGGCTTAAAACTTAATCTTTCTTAAAAGAAAACACAATTAAGTTACAGTTTTCTCTATAATTTACTGATTTAAACTCTAATATCATATAACTCAAGAAAATGTATGTATTCTCTAAAATCCCATGAGACTAATAAATAACTCATAGATAAGTTTAAAAGATGCGTTGTAATGAGTTATGGTGCAAACAGCATTTTGAGAGGCTATTTATTGATCTACATAACTTGGTATAAATATTTAGCTAAAGTGAGTTTACTTGATTATGAGATAACGTATTCTCAATCTATGAGTACCCTGAATTTCTTGAGTCAAAACATAGTCAGTGAACACTCAGGAATCTTATTATTCAATTCTAATATGAGTGAATATTCGAATGTAAGTAATCAGAATAATATTACAGTTTGTAATTTTCTATCGTTGGAAACCTATAAAATCAAACTACACCTCTCGCACAATAATGGCTATCGTAACTTGATAAACAGATGAAGAACACTCTGCCGTTTGAAGCGGTGGATTTTTATGTATCAGTTTCAGCAGGAATAACATCACTAACTAAAATAAAAGTACATCACGATGATGAGTCCATAAAAGGAAAAAGTCCATACCATGGATTATACTCCTGGCAACTATCCATCTGCACCATCATAATGAAAATAATATCATACTCTGAACAAAGTACAAACTAGACACTCGGGCTTCTGTCACGGGATATCATTACTATTATTTGTCCCTTGGGTTCCTAGTGGGACATAAGGCTTCAGTAGCACGTCTCCATACCACTCTGTTCTCTGCAATCTTTCGAACCTGCCTCCACAAAAGATCACAAGCTCTCATTTCTTCCTCACACACCATTACCTCCATGTCACCCTCGCCTCGGACGCCCAACTCGTCGCTCCCCATCGGGGTTTCACTAGAGAGCCTGGCCTGCAGCGTGATGTCCCCAAACCGTCTTCTCTGTGTATGCTTAGTCAAATCCATCTCCACTTCCTTCCACTGCATATTCGTTCAGCGATAGCTTATTGCTTGGTTCGTCACCAACC